CTGATGGGTGAGATTGAAACGGGACCCGAAAAATGCACAGAAAAACGAAAAATGCATTTTTCGTTTTTCATTTTTCGTTTTTATTTTTTGCATTGGAAAACGTATATATATATATATACAAAATCCTATGCGAAAAATGAAAACGAAAAATGAAAAACGAAACATGCATTTTTCGTTTTTCGAAGCCGACCCTGTGACATCTGTGCACCTCAGAGTTTCACTGTGGACACCCTGGAAGCCTCACATAGGCCAGCCATGCATCATCTGTAGCCTTTCGGCTCAAGCTGCAACTCAGGGAACACTCAGACCTGCGCCCCAGTCGATAGTTGCTGCGATGCCGCCTGCCCTGCCGAAGGTCAAGCTCTCTGACCTCAAGCCGACCGAAGAGGAGCTACGAATTGCCAGGGAGCAAATCATGAAACTCAAGGAGAAGGAGACGCTTTCCAAAAAAGCCAGCTTGAGGGCGTACCTCCGCCAGAACCCAGATAGCGTCTCCAAGGGGAACATGTCGGAGATGCTCGAGAAGTTCATGGTCATTCAGAGCCGCGCCAAGGACCAGCAGGAGAAGGCGATGACCACCAGGTCTGACGAGTCCAGGAAGAGCGTGTTTCGCGAGCTGCACTGGTGGTCGCAGGAACAGATGGAGAAAAACCTCGGGACGATGAAGGCCAAGTCGTGGATGGAGTCGAACTTGCTCCCATCTCGGCCCGATCGCGTGACGGGCAAGAACGAGGACCCCTACAAGGAGTACGGCGTGCCCTCGGATTGGGAGAGGCTGACCGAGAGCGAGATCAGGGCTCTGAAGGCGGAGTTCGAGATGCAAGATGTGGACGGCGACACTTTCGAGGAGATCGACGCGTTTCGAGCAGGCGCAGATTCCTCGACGGGGCCGGCGCCGACCGAGAAGTCCGAGATCGAGAAGATGGCGGAGAAGATCGAGACTTTGAAAGCCAACCTGCCGGAGGAAATTGGGAAACTCCAGTCGGTGGTGCTCACTGCGAAGCTCATCAAAACCAAGGCCGAGTCGACGGGCAGCAAGTACCACGATGCCCTCATTACCGACAGCACGAAGTTGATCAGCCAGGGCGAGAAGTTGATCAAGATCTTGGAGCGCATGGTGCTCGAACATCCCGACGACGCGCAGATGCCGAAGGTCATCACCCAGCTGGATGACACCAAGAGTAAGCATGAGACAGTGACGACCCGGGCCGCTACGTACGGCCTAATGCCCGAGAAGACGGGCGGAGGCGGCGGGGCAGGCGGCAAGAAGAGGAAGAGGACGAAAGCCTCTGAGTGAAGTAGTCTTGGGTCCGAGACGGGTGCGCCTCGGCACCTTCTCTAAGTGGCCAGGAGCGCGCCACGAGTGGCCAGGGGCAAGCCACTTCAGAAAAGCATCGGCATCAACATCAACATCATCATCAACATGATCATCATCATCATCATCATCATCATCATCGTCGTTGCCAGCGTCACCATCAATGCCATCACCATCAACGACGTCAGCAGCATGACCATCAGCAACCATTTCCTCATTGCACACCAATGGCACACAAAACAACATCCAACATGACCAATGCAATGCCGACTCGATCCTGGAGGTCTCGGAGAGTCCCGTCCTACTTTGAAGATCACTGGAAGCCCAAAAGTGCTGAAACCGAACACGCTCTGAAGTTCATTGGAGGAAGCCTCGAGCGAAGCAAATTCCCACCCACTTGTGTTCTTCTGTTCCGTAAGCATCTTGGCCCAAGTCGTTCATTGTACATTGACCCGCTTATGATCTCAACTTTGTCATGGCGTGGATCGTTCTGCATGTTTTTGTTGCGTGTGCATTCTGCTGTACATATGGAAGTTGTGGCAAAATAGGGTCTTTGCGAAAGCGGCTCGCTGAGGACTCGCTTGAGAGCGAAGTTGAGCATCACACTTCGACTGATCCCCGAGCTGGTCGGCTACGGGGGGGGCATCGGCAACGGCGAGAACAGGTCGCAAGCACCTCTCCTCCTACCCGCGGGACCTCGGACGTGGCCAGGGACCCGTTCACCAGGGATTTGCGGCGTCGATGGGCCAAAGGGGAATTAAGCTCAGCAGCTGTGCAATCTCTCGCCCACAACGCCCAGCTTCAGGGTGCCCAGAACCTGGAACGATTGAGCGCTATAGGCGCACATGGCTTACATCCCCAAAATTTGTTTCGAGATTTGGTTCGTGTATCTCATGGCCTTCTGCCACGTCCGCCACCGTGCCAGGGCAATGGGTCAGGGACCTCTCGGGCGCCTCTGGTGGGGCAGTTTTGGAGCCTCTTGGGGGTCGTTGTGTGAGGCTTCTTAAGGTCTGATTGGCCCTATTTGGGAGCCTCTTGAAGCCTCTTGGGCCTCCTTTGGGCGGAGCGGCGTTAAAAACTAACTCTTGGATGAAAGGTGATGGTCCCTCTTAAGCCTGTCTCGAGGTCATCTGAGGCCGTCTTGGGCGCTTCTTGGGCCATCTTGGAGATTTCGATGGTGCAATTGATTGCCGTCTATGTCAACATGTTCTAAATTGAAATAGAAAATGTCTACAATGAATATTTTTCGTCGTCGCGGACGCGAGCCAATGCGAAGTACCACGGCACAGACACGAGAAGGCCAACTTAATTCAAACCCAATGTGGGAATCAATGAGTTTGGCATCTCGGGCCTTGTTCGGGGGCTGTTGGAAGCTATTGGAAGCCTCATGGGGTTCTTAGGGAGGGTGCCTTCGGAGGCCTCGTGAACGCCCGTTCGAACCTCCTCAGGCGCCGTAGGGGCCTCCTTGCGCGGAAGGCTCGACCTGTCCCGCTGGGGGGCAGCGGTCCCCGCGAGCGGCCTCGAACATTTACACCCCCCTCGAAAGTCACGCGGAGAGTCCCGACAACGCGCGAGTGGGCCCAACAGACTTTGAACATTGAGCGCCGGACCCCTTAAGACCTCCCCAAGAGTGAGGGCTGGACCTGACGTCACGCCCATTTCGTGGTTCGGGGCACGTTTGCGGGTTCGGGGAGCCCGAGGGCGCCCCCCCGATCGATTGGATCGAATTGCCTCTGAAGGGATCCAGGAGAAAGCCTCACCCAATCATTTGGCCACACAAATGGTTTCAGACTTTACCGAAAGCGCGCCCTGACATTTGGAGACATCGCATCACAGGTGCAGAATTTGCGGCGCACCAGTTTTGGGAATCCACCAGCGCGTCGAAATTTGTGACACGCCATCCCCACTTACCAAAAGATTCATGGCACCGCATTGTTCCGATTGGGTTTCACGGGGACGGTGGCGGGTTCAACAAACACGACAGCCTTTGCACTTTCAATTGGAACTCACTTTTAGCCACTGGCCGCACTGTCCAAACCCGATTCCTTTTCACAGTTGTGAAGAAATCAGACATGGTCGCTGATACCTTGGACACGCTGATGAAAGCGTTTGCTTGGTCTTGTAATGTTTTATTATCTGGCGAATCACCTCTGTGTGATTGGAAAGGGTCCCGCATTTCTGGCGGTGGCGCACCGCTCTGTGATTGCCGTGGTTGTTTGGTTCAAATTCGGGGCGATTGGGAGTTTTACGTAACGTTGTTTAGCTTCCCTCGCTGGAATGAGGCCGACGTGATGTGTCCTTTCTGCAAGGCGTCTTCAACGGACGCAGGCCGCCTATGGACAGATTTCCGCCGCGAGGCTGGCTGGCGGGGAACGCTGTTCACCCACGAAAGCTACCTGGAGCACCTTCGGGCGGCAGGCTTGGCTGCGCCTGTGCTGTTCAGAGCGGGGGTGGGTGCCATTGGCCTTCGCCTTGAAAATGTCATGGTGGACATACTCCACACTGTAGATCAAGGAGTTGCGTCTCGCATTCTCGGGAACATTTTGTGGTATTTTGCCGTTGTGAAGGTTTGTTTCGGGGGCGCCACGTTTGCTGAACGCATCAAGAGATGCGGATCAGACTTGCACACTTGGTACAAGAGCCATCGGACAATCACATCACGTTTACAAGGTGCACTGACAGCTGACCGCGTCAGGACTTCTGGCAGCTGGCCCAAGTTAAAAGCCAAAGCTGCTGCGAGCGCTGCGGATCTGATCAAACGGTTTGGGCAACTCGAGTCGCCAGATGATTTCACGCAGCTGCATGATCAGCTTGCAGCTGGCGTCGTCCAACTTCTTTTAGAATTCTATGATATCCTGAATCGTGAATCGATGTTCTTGTCTCAGCAGGCCCGCATTCGGTTGCCACGGCTGGCAGACGATCTGTGCGCGCTATACAGTCGGTTGTCGAGCATGTGTTTTGAAGCCCGCCAGAGGCTCTGGAAGCTTTCCCCTAAATTCCATTTGTTCTTGCACGTTTGCTTGCACCAAGCGATAGAGCTTGGTAACCCCAGGTTCTGGTGGACCTACCCAGACGAAGACCTAGTTCGCATACTTATCGCTGTCGCGGAAGGGGTTCACCCCACGACTCTAGCTACGTCTGTTTTGGCAAAGTGGTTGTGGTGCGTTTGGGATGAAGTCGTGGTTGATATTGATGATTAGCCGCGTCGCAAAAAAAAAACGTCAACAAAACAAATATCACATATTGTGACCTTTTGCTGACCATCATGCCGTTCAACGTGTATACTTGTATACCCAAAGCCCTCGACTCTCGCCCGCATCGTCTTCAATCGCGCCTCGTTGGCGTTTTCATTTTGGGGAGGGGTTGTGCCATTGAACCCAAGGGCACCGACGCAACGAGGAGGAGGAGCAGTGGGAAGAGGAGGAGGGGAAGCGAGGACGAGGAGAAGGAGAAACACGACGACGACCAGGAGGCGCTGGCGACGGGGGACAAGAGAGGGCTCGTCACAAGAGGCTCATATATAAAGTTACAGGCGAAGATCTGTAGATTGTTGCGCGGCCTTTACATTATACAGGTCCCTTACTTTTTTGAAGGCAGGGGAGCGTCGGGGAGTTCGCCCGGCCAGCCCCCCGTCGCCTCCGTCGCCGCCGGAGGCCCCGCCGGCAGCCGCCGCTCCGAGCAGCAGCGCCGCCCTGCACCGCTGCTTCGAGTGGGCAGGCGAGGCCTACGCACAGGCCGGCTTGGTCAGGCATCAAGCGAAGCAGCGTCGTGCCCAGTCGGAGGGCACGGCGCTCGGGGCCGAGATCCTGGGGGAGGAGGGCCAAGCGGGTGCCGAACGACCGCGCCGGCTACGGCTGGCCGACCTCAGCCTCCTCGTGGCCACAGGGCGACGTCGCACCGGAGCCTTGCTGCGGGCCGTCGTCAGCTCCTGGATATTCGTGCTCCTCTTCCGGCGACCTCTGTTGTGCCTCCTGTGGCACGCGTTCAGGTCTCTGCCCGACCCCGCAGACGATGCCCGGGTCTTTGAGTTGCCCGCAGCGGTCCGCCTGGAGCTCGCCATGCTGGCCGCGCTGGCACCTGCGACGACGGCGAACGCGCGCGCGCATCCCAGTCGCACCATTGTGGCCACGGATGCGTCAGACAGCGTCTTGGCGGCCGTGGACGCCCCTATTGGACAGGCGCGCCTGGCCCGCGCACTTGCTGGGCCAGCACGGGGAGTGGTTGTTGGCCAGAGGGTCTGAGCGCGACCGCAGCGACTTCGAAGAGGCGCCGCGCGCCGAGGGGCAGCAGCTGCGAGCGAGCGACCCCGAGCGGGCATTGGTGGAGCGATTCGACGTCATGGAAATCTTCACCGGTCCGCGCAGCCCCTTCCTGGTGGCATGTTCTCGGCGTGGGCTCCGGGTAGGACCGCTCATAGATTTGAGCCGCAGCCCGGCTTGGGACCTCCGCTCAGGGCGGCTGCTGGAGTGGATCATCTATCTCGTCGTTAACCTGCGCGTCTTGTACATCCATATGTGCCCGCCTGGCAGTAGCTTTAGCAGGGCGCACAGACCGCCGTTACGCTCGCGGACGCGCCCGCTGGGCTTCGACGCCCGCGAGCCGCGCACCCGCCCCGGCAACGAGCTCCTCCTGGCGACCCTCATCGTGCTCACCGTCGTGCGCCGCAGCCCCGGAGTGGCCGGCAGCTGGGCATACCCTCGGCAGTCGTTGTCGTGGATGGTGCCGCAGGTCGTCAAGTTCATGAGCCACGCAGCTTGCAGCTCTCTGCGGCTTTCGCTGTGCTCGTTTGGGTCCGCCCTTCGCCGGGGCGTGCAGTTCGGCACGGTGCTCGCGCAATTCTTGGCGCCGCTAGCGCGGCCGTGCGCTGGCTTCCATCGCCACGATCGGGGGTCGCTTCCAGCCCGGGCCAGTTCAGCTCGTGACGTCGCGGACGCCACTGGCACGGACGTCAGGACTGTTACGGCGCGATGCGCACGCGGCTCCGGATACCCGGATGCGCTCTGCGACGAGTGGGCCCGTTTGATACTCGGGCACGTGAGCGAGGCGCGACGCGCCGCCTGCTGCAGCGAGGCCGACGCGTGCGCGGAGCCGGAGAACGTCGTAACGGCGGGGGGGGGCGGTGGAGTCTCTCTTAGTCAACGAGGTGGCGGTGGGGGCTGCGTGGAAGGAAAGCTACTGCTTGCATACCAACGACCGCGACCACATCAACATCCGCGAGATCCGGGCGTACATCCATGGGATGCGCAGGCAGGCTGCTGCGCGCCCCTGCTCTCGCCAGGTCTACTTGATGGATTCCCTGGTCAGCCTGGGCGCCATGGCCAAGGGTAGATCGCCGTCGAGGCCTCTGAACGAGGAGCTGCGCGCGGCCGTGCCGGACGTCGTTGGCTACGACCACTACCCGGGGGGCCTCTTCTGCCCGACGCGCCTCAACGCTGCAGATGATCCCACGCGTGCCCGGGCAGTTCGCCGCCCTGGTCTCTGCCCTGGTTGGTTGGCCCTCCGTCGCGAAGAAGATTTCCAGGCTTTCGACTTCTGGGCGTCGCTTCCGCTCCAAAGTAGGCGCGTCTCGGATTGGGCTCGGCTCTTTGTCCTCTTGACTCTTCGCCAGCCTCGGCTTACCTGGCCGTGGCACCTGCGCGACTTCGACAGCACCTTGGGCTTCCCTGGGGAGTGCCCGAGGCCGCAGGCATTGCCAGCCTGGGCGCGCCACCAGATTGACCTGGCGCGCACTCGGGCTCTAGCTCCTCGCACGGTGGCTCGCCGTGCCACGCTGGCTAGGCGATTTGATTCGTGGCTGGCGCGGCAGCGCGCGACCACCACCGAGAACCTCGCGTTGCTCGGCGGCCGCGAGATGAGCCGGGCGCTGGCGGCTTACGGGCAGTTCCTGTACGACTCTGGCGAGCCTTTGGGTATTTACGTGGATACCATCACCGCCGTGGTCGACGCGGACCGCTCGTTGCGACGCCAGCTTCAGGCTGCTTGGGACGTTGCTGACGCCTGGCGCGCACTTGTGCTGGCGCGCAACCACGTGCCCACGCCTCCAGTCTTGTCGTTGGCTATGGTGTCTTTGGCATTGATGTGGGGGTGGATCGACGTCGGTGCCCTCATATACTTGTGTTTCGTCGCCATGCTGCGCCCGGGCGAGCTCCTCGCCCTTACGCCGGAAGACATCATTCTGCCCAGCGCCTTGCTCGCCAACACGCCCCGCGCGTACGTGCGCATCATGCTCCCGAAGACTCGCCGCGTGGCCGCCCGATTGCAGCACGTCCGAATCGACGACCCCGCACTCATCGGCCTGCTGGAAGCATGGCTTCCCCGCGCCAGCCCAGGACAGCGGCTCTGGGCAGGATCTGCCTCACAATTCCGGTCGGCTCACAACGCCTTGGTCGAGTTTTTCGGCGTGCCGTCCTCCGACGGCGTCGGCATCACTCCAGCTAGCCACCGGGGTGGGGGGGCAACTAGGTTC